CCCCCCCCCCCCCCAAGGTAAAAGCTTAAATTTTGTTTTATATTATATATCTCATATATATAATATATATAATCTGTTATCTACCACTTCAGTATCAGTTGTTCAAAAATTGTGTTGTTTAAATGAGAGTGGGCACTGTTTTCTCATTGAAGTGCCAGTTCACTTTACAGGAGTACATAGAGAAATATAACCAGATCAGACCCTCAGAGGCATCATTTCAGTTTTTTTTTTTACCAAAATGACATCCCAGCAGACCGCATATTTACACAAAATTTTGTTGACCCAAATGACACTACTTTCCACACAGAGAATGTTGAAAATATGTGGATTCCTGCAAAGCACAAACTGAAAAAACAGTTTGGCACAAGCCTGGATATTTTCCTTAATATTTGTCTGAGTTCAGGCTTTGCAATTATTTTCCTGGAGATGATATTTTTAAAGAAATTCCTTGTTACCTTGGAAGAAAACTGCATAAACTTAAACTCTATTTTCTTTTCATATAATTATTATTATTAGTTTTTTTCTTTATTTCTATTTTATATATTTTTTCTGTTGGATTATTTATAATATATGTGCTGAAACAATTATGTGCATGAGGATGTCATTTCCAATTATTTGATCACTAAAAGTGTTTTATCTGTAAAAAAAAACAACGTTTAAATAGAACTTCAAACCAGAACAACACAATTTTTAATAACTAATGCAGAGTGGTAGATTACAAAGTATTCTTGCAAGGGCATTAGTTTGCGCATACTCTTCCATTTTGATTTCATTGTACACACTGCTTTTCGCAAGCCAGAAAATAATTTTAAAAATTATTAATAAAACAATTAAGTTTCTACGGTAAATATGAAGAGATAGCACCCCATGCCCGCCATCTTGGTTGCCGCAACCCGCAAACTTATGTCCTAAATGTATCCCTAAACCTAACCTGAACTCTAAGTCTATCCCTAAACCTAACCTGAAACCTAAACGTAGCCCTAACCTGGGTTTTGACCCTATTGGAGCCAGGATTTTTACCCTATCAGAACCAGGGACAGGACACGCAAAAGACATCAGGGTGCTAGCTCTTCACATTAGCCAGTTTCCACATTTAATTAGAAACTTTTAACTTTGTTTGCTACGTATAGCGCTTTTCTACACTTCAGCGCAGACTTTCTTTATAAATAGTTATATTGTAATTATAGCATTGCATAGACTATAGACTGTGGGTTTACTTGTCCTGCGTTCATTTGCGCGGCCACCGCAGCGGACACAAACCATAAAGTTTATGCAGCATTAACGATCAGAAATCTGCTTAAAGTAAACCTATACACGGGTAAGCCGCGGCGACTGCGTTGCTGCCCACAGCCTTACTAAACAGAAACATGGCAAGGCCGTGGAGGCCACGTCGCTCTAGCTATGCCGACGTATTACTTTAGTGTATCAGAGAATGA